CTGCCTCTCATTTCCAAGCAAATATCTAAGGAACGTTAAGCCGCAAGAGTTTAAAATCTAAATTTTTACAACATTTCTCCATTTTACAGATGAGGAAACTGAGGGTCAGAATGGTCAAAGTATCAGGTGGATAATGGCAAAGTCAAGTCGAATCCTGGGTCCTGACACTCAGTCCAGAGTTCCTTCCACAGCAGCACAATTTACCCCAAACTCATAAAAAAAATAAAGCAGTAGCCCACCTGCTGTATTGTCCCTTCTCCTGTGTTAGCTTCTGTAAGAAAATTAGGAGTAATGACACTTATTGTTCTGAATCTATCACCTCTTAAACTTCCTCAATCTGCAAATTATCAAGACCTACCTACATATTTTTTATGTTGACTACAAAATATGGAATTTTATTTAGTCATAAAAAGTGCTTTGTCATTTTATATCTTTCTTATTTTTAAAGCAGACTCAATGACAAAACACACAGAAATAACCAAGTCAGCTGGCAACCAGATTATCCAAGTGTAACTCTTGTCGTATTACTGTATTTTGTCCAAAGATGATCTTTTTAAAAAATTTAAAAACCAATTTTTAACACAGAACTCTAAAACCACCCTCCAAACTGATAGAACTTCCTAATGGTTATTTTGAATCCCAAAAGACAACAATCAGACTTAGGAATCCAGCAAGTTTTACATGGAGAATTTTGTACTCATCATTAAGTCCAGGCACAATCAAAGAATGAACTATTATTACCTATCATAAAGGCTTAATGTAATTGGTAGTTGATGATCTTTGTTAATAGAAACAGTGTTCCTGCCACATTAGAAAAAGTAAAAAGAAAACATTAAGGATTTGAGTGTAATGTTTACTAAAGTGAAGTTTTCCAGAAAAAAAATTCCTTCAACAGAATAATTATGTTCCTTCAGTCACTACAAGCAAAAGCTTCAGAATTCCGATTGTTACTGGTAATTGCAAAAAAAAAAAAAAAAAAAAAAAAAAGTGCAAGAAGAGCTTCCAGACATCACAGTCCCATTTGCTGTAGCAACAATATTGAGCAGAGACAATGCTCAGCACAGATCCTGGGCTGTCCTTAAATAGGACAGCCTGCCTGTCTGTGCCCCTCTCCTCCATGTAACATGTCAGATGCCCACCCGGAGGAAAAGGCTATTTCTGTTTCTAGGCCCATTTCCAAAACCAGGGGCATGTTCTAGACAAGAACCATCCTATTAAGTGACAGTGGAAGAGTGGAGCCCAAGCTGGGTACAGATTACACACCCAAGAACTGGCCAAGGTCTTACTCCCAGGCTGGCTGGCAGCTAATAGGCCACCTTGGTCTAGCCTCAGAAGTAGGTTCTCCTGCTGAGATTGCATACCTGCCCAATGCTGACAGCTGGGCCATGGAGGAGTGCAAACTCAGTGTCCAGACTTGAGGCAGGCCATAGGGAAGCTCCCCCTACAGAGATATGGTGATAGCCAGCTGGCTTGAATCAATCCTTTGTTTTCAGACTTACATTTTCTCTCAGCTGAAATTTCAAGTCCTGATGAAAATCCTACCATTATTTCAACCATCCGATTTGTCTTTAAAGAACTCTTTTAAAAAATCTGAACATCACTGTTTAGTGCATACTACCGAGAGTTTACTTGTTCTCTGTAACCCTAGTAACGGTGATCTGTAAATGATTCCATTCAGGTCCTTAAAGTAAAAAAGCAGCTGTTTAATATACAACACAGGACAAAAACCAAAACACGGTAGTAGCAAAATTGCAAGAAAGCATGAACACTTTCACCTCCGCTTTAAGTAGACTTCAAAAAATTCACAGAGGATGAAATGAAACACATACAAAGGTTCTTACTCTTTTGCAAATAAATACAGAAAAAAGTAAAACGAGATGAAAAGGCTAGAGGAACTACTCACTACTCCAGTATTCCTCTTTTATGTCCCTTTTACTCTCTTTAGGAAATTCAAGAAAAGCCTTCCTATCAGATGAACACACTAGTGTGCAAAGACAACAATGCTGTGTAGTTGACTATGAAACAGTAAACATAAAATGGAGTTGTACAGGGAATGCAACGGGGCCATAACATGAGATGACTTTAATGATAAAACTACAACAATTTTTGCCACATAAAAGCCCTTAAGGATCATCTTAATCAATGTTTGAATACCCTACAAAAACTGTAAACAGCAAGACAACTGTCAAAATTCCGTGGGCCAAAAGTTCCCCAACAGAATCAATGCTCAAACTCCCTGATGTCTTGTTTAACAATTACAGTACCACTCATCCAAGATATCTTTTCACAGCAAATTCATTCATTAAAAACCATTATCAAGCAACATTTTGCGTACTGGATGGTCAACAATGTTTCCTTTTACCCTTTATTTTCATAAAGATTTTATATGAAAAGAAAACAAGCATAGGAAATGCATACATATATGAATGTCTTTGAGGGTCAAAGCTAGTTTAGCAAAAACAATCCGAACTGAATACCAAAGACAAAACATCAAAAATCTGGAAATGTCAAAATCTTCTGGGCAACCAAACTGACAGCTAAAATATTAAGACCGACCTCACTTTAACTTATAATATTCTGGTCATCCTCAGGGACCTCTTAAATTCTGGTAGCACCCTGCGCGCTGTCTTCCTGGGCCATAGCCATGTATAAAGAAAACACTAGTGCTCAGCCAAGCAAGAAAAACCCCACCTCCCCCCAGCTGTAAAGCATATTCTTCCCCCTGTTGAAAACACAACTTAGGGATCCTGCTAGGTCTCTAAAGTATTCCCACGGTTTCAGACTACACTGAGCTTGTTCCTCAAAACATCTATTTAAAAAAATAAATAACAATCAGCTTGGGCACACAATCTGAAACCACTTTATGTTGTGGGCTCACTTTTTCACATATTCTTGTCTCATTTCCCGAAGACTCAGAAAACTGCCTGAAGGGTCTTATGTTTCTTTAGCATCGCACATCTGATCCCCAGCTCACCTCTTCCTTGCATTCTCAACTAATATTCACACACTCCTAGAAAGCTATAATCAGAAAGGAGCTTTAGAGATGATTTAGTCTGCACTCCACTTGAAATGAACTAGATGAGTCATTAACCTTTTATATAGCCCAGTCAGGCAGATCTGGGTTCAAATCCTATCCATGGCATATTCTGGATACAGAAACTTTTCTCGTCTATAAAACTGAGATAACACCTACCTCATAAAACCGGTGTAATGATCAAATAAAATAATATACATTTTTTAAATTTGGACTTTTCATTTTCTTTGTCCTTGTTAAGACAATCTTTTAGGCTGATTTTCGTCCTAGGTCGTTTTACATTAAATTGCAAGCCCAAAAGGCAGGGCAAAAGGCAGGGCTTCTTCCCTACTGTATTTTCTAACCGTTTGGTGCCTAGTCCAGTGCTAGGCATCTTTTGAGAGAGCCATAAACCAACCGTGTGAAAGAATGCCTTAAGTCTCTATAATCACTACTTTTTAGGCAAAGGTACTGTCCTTAAGCTTCCTCCTAGAACCTACTTAGGTCTATATGTTGCCTAACCTATGCCTCTCAAACACACCTCTCCCTACTCCCTCTTCTCACACATACACAACCTTCTCTTTAGAACCAAGAACTGAAAAAAACCACTTACCCCCCCCCCCAAATTTTGCAATACAGTTACCATCTTCACCAGAATATTCAGGCAAACTGTGGTAAGTACAAGGAGACAAGATTTGGAAGGGTTCAAGATTTCTGGAGAACTTTCTTCGGATGTGTGGCATCAAGTCCTTAAATGAGAATTACTTGTCTATAACAAAAGCTGGCAGAAAGTGAACCAGAAACTCCAGCGAGTCCCTGAAGTTAATTATTGCACTTCACTCCACCATCCAAGCAGTGACTAATAGGATTAATTTGGGCTCTAATATCAGGTGTAAAAATCCTTCAACAAGATTCAAGTTCCATTCGAAGTGCTGGTCACTGACAATGAATTTATATTTAAGGGGGCATAAGTTTTGCTTTTGAAAACACACTGTACTAGAAAAACATTGGCTCCATACGCCAGGACGAACGTGTCATTTCTTTCCTTTGCAAAGGGCAGCAACAAAAGAACCAATGGGTGAGAAGGGGATAAGATTCCAGACCCCTGAAGAGGACACAGATTTCCACCAAAGTAAGGTTGGTTCTTTCAAGGAATATTTTTAACAGCTAAAATAGCTTAACACACAATCAGTATCTTGTATCAATTACACAAATGCCATTTATGTAACCCTGGTGGCCTGGAAAAGGACCGCAACACACAGAAATCCTACTGGCCGCAGCTGTCCCCCCTCCTGCGAGGCTTGACAGCGCGTCCAACGCGCCCAAACACCAGCCGCCAGGCTCCCCCCAGTGCCCTCCTCTCGCAGCAAACTGCCAAGATTCTCCGGCCAAACTCCACGGTCCCCAGGATTCAAAACCGCGAAAATGCGAACCCTTGCTAAGCAAACGGCAGGGCGCGTAGTAACTTTTCTTTCTCTTTTGCACGGATTGGAGATGCTGGTTTCTAACACCAACTTTTCAGGTCCACAAGCCTCCCGCACGCAATGCACCGCGAGGGGTATGACTGAGAGCGCACCAGAGGGCTGCTGAGCTCTAAAACCTCAGCGGTTTTCCGATTGCGGGAAATTCAGGATACAGCAGCCCCATTGTGATTAAATGCAGATATAAAGAAAGGAGAATGCCCTTCCCCTTAACCTCTGCTACAAGGAATAATAAAAACACGCAGCAGGCATTAGGTGGAAATCCCGGGGCCTCCCACGGGCCGATGAGGCCCGCAAAGCAGGCCATCTGGAATCTGGAGGAAGAAAGTTAGCCGGCAAAGTGGAGGGAGCCAGGGCGTGAGTGTACAGCCTCGGTCACGAGCCTGCGGAGGAAGGGGCCGAGGGGAAAGAGATGGGGGACTAAGCTGAAGAACCAGTCCCGCGTGCGACCAGGGCAGGGGTGCGGGCGCGGAGGCCCACGGAGCGGCAGCCGAAGCTCTACTTACATAACGTTTCAACTTCTTCTCCGGGGGGGACTTGCGGAGCCATCCCGAGCAGACGACTTCGCCGCCGCTCATGGTGCGCGCCTCTCCGGCTCCCGGCCGGGCAGCTGAGGGGCGGGCGGGCGCGCTCCCGACAAAGCCGACGCCTGCCGCCGGCGCGGTGGCGAGGACCTCGCTCTTCCGAGGGGCAGACGGGACGCTCCGCCGCGCGCTGGCTCTGAGTGTCCGAGTGTCTCCCGCGCGGGTCCGCAGATGTGAACAGAAGCGGGTAGAGCCGCCAAGGCCGGCACCTCCGGGCAGGGGTCGCCGCCGAGCCGAGGGCGCCCCGGCCTCCTTTCAGTGCGCCCGCCTAGCCGCCACGCGCGCCGTCCCGCCGGCCGCCTCAGCAGCGCTCAGGCTCAGCGGCACTGTGCCCCGACACAGAGCTGAGCCTCGGTCCCCTGCGCTCCGCCCCCTAGGAACAGGACCTCCCCAGAGCTCTTTCCGAAACAGACACTACGTTGCACGCGCGCACACACACACAATGCCCCCGCGTGGCGCCCACTCTGGCTCGCCCCTCTCGGCTTCGATGCGCCCGGCGAAATCCTCTTTCCCGCTCCTCTGGAGAGGGTGGGTCACTTCCCCGCGGCGAGGGGGGCGCACAGAGGAAAACAGGGAAGTCGCGAGGGTTTCGTGCGGGCGCAGGGCAGGTCCTGGGCCACGCAAGGAGCCGCCCGGGTGGCGGCGAAGCGCGGGGCGTCGCTGGGCGGCGGGCGCAGGGCAGGGCGCAGGTCCCGCCGGAGGGTGGGTCCGTTCTCGCCACCGCCGGAGAGGGCGGGGAGCGGCGGAGGAACGAGATACTCGGCTGCTCGGCTCCGGGGACGGACCCCACTGTCCCGTCCCCTCACGCTCCTCCCGCGCCGCCTCCCCCACCGCGGGGCGCGCGGCAGGTTCAGAACGGCCCGTCCCCCGGTCCCGATCCCTCCCTCTCCCGGCCTCCCCGTTCCCTCTTCCTTTCCTCCTCCCCTTCCCACGTTCGGGCCGGCTCCGGTTACAGCCCAGACTTTCTCTGAAACTCCGCCGAGCGCTTCCAGCCAAAACAACAAGGGCCGGGGGCGGAGGGAGCGGACGGAGGGAGGGAGGGAGCGAGAGAGGGAGGGAGCGGGAGTCCGAGAGGCACCCTGGGATCTGTAGTTCAGGAAGCTGGAGCGGGGTCCTTGGCCACCCCGCTGCGGCTGCGGCCAGAGCCCCCAGCAGGCACCTAGTCTGGGAGGGCGGCCGAGGCCTTGGCGAGGCCGGCGCCGCCGGGGCTCGGGCCCTGGGAGGAGCGAGGAACGTTCGAGCGTCAGTTTGTGGTTTGCCATGTTGGCTCTGTCGAATGTCAGTTCAGAGTTTGTACGGAACGGAAGATCGGGAGTTGGGGCCCCCCCCCCCCTTTCTCCACTTGACAGCCTGCAAATCAAAGCAGCCTGGAGGGAGACCGCGACCCCGCGGATCCCGGCCCGGGAGACTTAAGGGCGAGAACAGGAGGGAGAGGGCCAGGGGGAGCGTTCCATGGCGACTAGCCTGGCCGGGTGGACAAAGGGGTACCCACCCGGGCTGGCGTGGGCTGGTCCCGGGAGCAGGCCTGCCAGAGTGGTGGGAGTGCCTTGTGTGGCCAGAGTATTTGACTGATTCTGTCTATGGGACATTTTAAAGTCTCACATTCCCTCCGTTTGTTGCCAGTTTCTTCCACTTGACTTTGTTTAAAATCTACTCTTGGAATGTTGGACTAGAACGGGGACACTTAACTGGATGTCCTACTTCTATTTGCCTACTTGTGTGTGTTTTACAATTATGACACCTGGTCCTGAGCTTAACATTGTCCTGTAGTAGGAATATCTTTTCCAGTTTATTTATGAAACACATTTCAGAATATAAATAATCAAATAAAAAGCGCTAAAAATACTAGATAAGTTAACACAGGGATTTGTTTATTAACATGACATTCATAGTCTGGAGTTCCTCTATTTTTGAAGATGTACAATTGCAGTGGAGAATTAGGTGCTGTGGTGGTGATAAAGATTCCTGCATTCAGGGAGGTGGCATTCCTGTGGTGGTATAGGATCCTAAACAAAGGGTCAGCATACAGATGGTGATAAATGTTGTGCCCTGAGGGAAACAAGTCAGTAATGTGAAACAAATCAGTAATGTGAAAGAATACTGGGGTGGACTCAGATGGGATGAGAGGGAAGTCTTCCTTGAAGGGGCATTTAGACAGATTTGTAAAATAGTGTGAAGAAGGGAGAATCAGACTTGTTTTATGAAAAAATAAAAGGGATAACCATGAGGAGGGCAGAGGGAAAGAACAAGCAAGGGGGCTTGCTTTTCTTAAATTGTAGGGCTTTTTAGAACACCAGTGATTATAATTTTTACAGCAGCTAATAAACCAAAGCAATTCTTTTAAAGTGTGTGAATACAGATTTTGTCACAAGTCCAAAGGAAAATAAATCATGGAATTGGTTTTTCACTTTGCCCATTGGAACTGTGTCTGTACACAGAGTCAAGAGTATTTATAATTAACATGCATTAGTTCACTGTTCTGTAGTTAATTGTTGGCTTTAGAAAATTTATCACTATCCATTCCTGTTACAAAGTCCTTTAAATGGAAAATTGTAGTATATCTTGTACTATTTAGCTTTTCAAAATTCAAATAATCTTTTCTTTATTTCATATAAGGGATTCAATGATCTCATTTCTGTGAGAGAAGAATGTTTGAAGAAATCTTTAAGTATATTCTCTATGTTCAACTGTGTTGTTTTAGATTTGTATTTCTAGAGGTCAAATAAGGGTTGAGGAAAGGTTGAATATAGATACATCTTCATGCATGTATTTTAGAAAGAAAATTTGCATTTTTACATTGTATGCCATTTTTAGATTATCTGTTAAATCACATTTTATATCTTTATACATTAAAATGTATGCTAGAAAAAATTATCATACATGAGTATCTTAAATTTCATTCATACAACAAATATTTATGGTATATCCTAGTATGTACAAGTTCTTGAGGACTGAACACAATAGGGAGGAAAGCCAGACCTACTCTTGCACTTCAATACCCTGGAAAAAAACATTTTACAGATAATAAGCCCCATAACTTCTACAATACAGTCATGTGTGGTGTGAAATGGGGTAAAAGAAAAATAGAGACTGATTTGGGCATATAAAAGGAGAATCTACCCCAGGCAGGAGAATGGCTAGGTAGGGATAGACTTCCCTGAGGAAGCGACTTTAAACTGAGATCTTCAGGTTGAGTAGAGTTAGCTTGGCAAAGTAACAGAGTATTCCATACAAAAGAGAAACTGCTAGGTGCACAAGTCGTCAGGCTAGAGGGAGCTCCTGAGGACCTGAATGAAGGCAGCAGTGAAGCAAATGTGAGGGACATTGGACTGGGTGAGGTTCCAGATGCTTGCAGATTAAACTTTTTCTTAGAGCAAATGATCATATAATTTCCTGTGATTCAAATCACCTCAAACAATCGCCACTATGGACTTTGTCATTCGCCTCCAGCATCCTACTTTAACCACATACCTTCCAACTTGACCTTTCACGATCTATGTAATCTTAACAGCTTTTCTAGTCTATTTCTAGCCTATTGACACTTTTTTCTTTCTCACGATCCATCAGACCTCTCCTTTCTCCACTTTCCTCCCTTACCCAGTTTAAATTTCATGGTGCACATTTTTAATGACATGGTCCCAACTCCCAAAACCCAACTCTGGATGAGCCCAACTCTACTTTCTTCTGCACCCAAGCAACCAAGTGCTGTTGGAGAGAATCACCCAACAGGATAAGTGGCATCTCTATAAATTCATGTCCAAAGACCTCAAGTAGATCCTCAACTATCTGCAGGGGCAGATCTTAGTTTTCTGGGCCCTGTAGCTTTTATGGTTTGGGGAGTTCTTTTAAAGGATATAGAATATACAATAACAAATATACAATTTGTTAGAACAGACAATAGAATATACAATAACAAATACAAATTAGGATGAATATGTATTTGGAATGAAAAAATAAATCTCAAACATATTACTGGAGCCATGGAGATACAGAAGCCTTTCTTTTGAGAGCTCTATAATGATTTACCAGAATCCTTACACAGATTTGATTCCTGAATGCATCCTGGCTTTGCCTCCTGACTAGGACACTCCACCTCTCCCAGCAGCTCCCTGCTGTCACGGGAGCCTGTAAAATGAGTGGCCCAGTGCTGAAGTTACATTAGTGTTATGGATGTCCCTGCTACCTAGCAGTCCTACTTTCTTTAACTGGATGGACAGTGCACTAGCCTACCCTCTGCAATAACTTGTCTTAAAAAAAAAAAACAGCTTTATTCAGATATAATTCACATACCATAAAATTCACATTTTTGAAGTACACAATTCAGTGATTTTTAATATACTTACAAAACTCTTCAACCTTATCACTTATTTCAGAATATTTCAGTGCCCCCAAAATAAACCCCATTAGCAAAGAAATTCCCACTAGTAGTTACTCCCCATAACCCCCTCCCCCCGGGCCCCTGACAACCACTTAATCTTTCTGTTGGCTTCTTTTGGACATTTATATAAGTGGAATAATACATTAAGTGGCCTTTTGTGACTGGTTTCTTTCAATTAGCATAATGTGTTCAAGGTTTATCCATGTTGTAGCATATATCAGTACCTCATTCCTTTCTATTATCAAATAATATTCCATTGTATAGATATACCATATTTTGCTTATCCATTTATCAGTTGATGGGCATTTGGCTATTATAAATAATGCTTGCAATAACAATTAAACCTTCAGACTTCTCAAGTTTCCAAACCCCCCTACCTCCCCCCATCAACTGAAGAAGATCTTTCTTACAGCATCCTCAAAAGGCCAAAGTGCTTAGATGGAAACTTCTTCAACCTGTAGCCATTAAATATGCAAACCTGCATACTATCTTCACTCCTCCTACTCTCCCTTCTTCCTATGGAAAACAGAGAACATCACTTTCTTCCTACGAGAGGCCAATCCCTCCACTTACGCTTTGGATTTCATCCCACTGCACCTTCTCAAGAACCTCACCCTATAAATGATCTCTTCTTTCTTTATCTAAATACACTCAATGCAGTCCTTTCCATCACCTTTTGTGTATGTATGTATTCCAATAAAACTTTATTTACAAAAGCAAGTGGTCAGCTGGATTTGGCAAACAGGCCATAGTTTGCCAAAGTTTGCTTTATGTGATCATGATCTGATCAAGTGTACATTAAGACGCACTACCGTTTTTAAAATGGAAATGAACCATTACTATAATGCCTTTTAAAATAGGTATTGTGAGGGGAATCTTATATGAAATTGCTGATAACATGCAATTGCAGATTATTTAATTCTTCCCTAATGTTAACATTATTCTTCTGAATAAACTACCATCTAATTAAAATAAGAATTGGCTGCATTGTAGGTGACAAAAGGATTACAGGCAATAGACTGCAGTTCTCTTCAGTTTTAACTGATCACCAAGTTAAATTATCCATTGCATTTTAAACCTATATCTCTTCTGTTAAAACAAAACAAGGTGAGGGGCACCTTGGTGGCTCAGTCAGTTAAGCTTCCGACTCTTGATTTCGGCTCAGGTCACGATCTCATGGTTCGTGGGTTCGAGCCCCTCATTGGGCTCTGTGCTGTAAGCTTACAGCACAGAGCCTCCTTGGGATTCTCTCTTTCCCTCTTTGCCCCTTCCCCACTCACACTCTCTCTCTCTCTCAAGATAGATGATAGATAGATAGATAGATAGATATTAAAAACAAAACAATGTGAAAAACCTTCTACATTTTATGTTTCTTTTCAGGTACCAGCTCTTCTCTCTTCTCTCACAGCCAGACTATTATTAAATGCTACCATGGTTTCTCTCTCTAGTTCATCTTTCATCATTCCTCAACCTCCTTGAA